AAAAAAAAAAAAGACACAGTCTCACTTTGTCACCTTGGGTAGAGTGCTATGACATCACTGTAGCTCACAGCAACCTCAAACTTCTGGGCTCCAGAGAAGATCCTCTTGCCTCAGCCTCTCAAGTATCTGGGACTACAGGTACCTGTCACAACACCTGGCTAGTTTTTCTAATCTTAGTACAGATAGGGTCTTACTCTTGCTCAGGCTAGTCTCAAACTCCAGGGCTCAAGCCATCCAGCCACTTCGGCCTCCCAGTGTGCTGGGACCACAGAGGTGAGCCACCGTGCCTGCCCCATTGCCTGTTTATGTTTTCAGAACTTCTGTTTATTCACCCGGCTGTCCAACAAACACCAGTACACTATCTGCTGAGAATCCAGGATGAGGTGACACCAACACTCAGAACTTCCCTAAGGACACACTGAATTGAGGTTAAGTGCCTGTTATCTCAGCCCCAAACCCCTCATCGCCATATCCAGGTGTCCGCTGGAACAGTAATCCAGGAAGGAAATGAGAACCTGTCTGATGACTCTCATCACAGACCAGCAGGCAGCTGCCCTCACCTTTATATTTCCTATATGTTTGCATGCTGAAGACACAGGACACAGAACACCCAGTGGTCACGGAAGCACAGCAGTGACCAGTGGCTACCTCTCTGGACATGGTCATAGCAAGAGCCAGGGTCCTGCTGTAGCAAGAGCAGGGAGGAGAGTGCTTGGCTCATCCCAGCAAACTGGCAGGGGCTGCAGGGAGGGGCTGGCCAGGCCACCATGGTGTCCCCAGGAAGAGTCTTTCATTCTCTCTGGTGTTAACAGTGCTGACTTTCAAAACGGACTAGCACTTTAACAGCAGGAGCAGCCTCAGGACAGTTCCTGCTCTGGGCAGACTCAGCCCATACAGAAGGGGCTGCTCCAGGCTTCACCACACAAGGAGAGTCTGCCCGTCAAGTCCGTGCTCCCTGATGCACAACTGTCATCAGTGCAGGTACCCCTCTCTGACTGTACATACAGTGACTCACAGTGACAACCTGGGGCTTCCTCGACAATGATGATATGAGAGTTCCTCTTAAAATGTATTTAAATTTAAAAAGTGAAAATATTTAGAAAATTTTAATGGCAGATCAGACGTCTCAAGAAGAATGAACAATCAATAAAGAACTCATTAAAAAAAAATCACTTGGAAGGCTCAGTGCCTTTACCACAGTGGTTATGGCGCCAGCCATGTGCACCAAACATGGTGGGTTCAAGCCCAGCCTGGGCCAGCAAAACAATGACAACTGCAACAAGAGAATAGCCAGGCATTGGAGTGGGTGCCTGTAGTCCCAGCTACTTGGGAGGCTGAGGCTAGAGAATCGCTTAAGCCAAAAAGTTTCAGGTTGCTGTGAGCTGTGATGCCTCAGCACTCAATGGAGGGTGACATAGTGACTGTCTCAAAAAAAAAAAAAATACTATTTAAATTTTTTTCCATTTCTGCAAAGAAAATCTCCTAATGCTGTTGACTACCACATACTCTGAGTAGTAACTGTGTTTTAGTGGCAAGTTCTTGCCCCCTAACAGCAAGGAGGCAGCAGGCCAGTGCTGAGGGCCAGGATGGGACCACAGGACATAGCCTGCTGTGCCAACTCCTGGTAGAGCCAGCA